AAATTTTGAAAAGCACCAAACTAGATAAATTGTATGTGACATAAATGTTGAACAACGCTTTCAACTATTAGACTTGAATTTCGTAGACTTAATCACTTGTCACAGGCCAGACTAATCTCATCTGCCTTATGAGCACAGTTGTGTGTTCCGTCTCATAATTCCTAAGTAAATAACAGGAAAAGTATATTTTTAAAATTGAAATTCAAACTATTAACGCGTCAGGCTGTTTTAAGAAACATTAAATTACATTAATGCTACAGTTGCACAAAACATTCCCATATTATTTGATTTTCTTTCTTAAATTAATGAGTCTGGAAACAGATTGTGTTTCGCATAACTAAATGTTTGTATTTATGGATTCATTTGTAATTCCACCATAACATGAACGATAAATACTTAAATTTCAAACTTTCTTTCGTTAAATATAAAGAGTGCTAGATTTTGCACGTCTGCTTTTAAGAAAATACCAGTTATATGAATAGTACTTTGTCACACAATACCAGATCCACACACACACATAAATGTGTTTAGAGTTATAAATGGCATTTTCACCAGTACCATAATTTTTTGCTTAAATAACTGTTGTAAACAGATAATGTTGTTTTCTTTTTGTGGTTTAGTTCAAAACGAGATTACACTATAACAATCATTTTGAACAAGGAGTATTTCCTGGTAAAATTTGGTAAAACAATTTATATATCTACATATAAATTTCAAAAATACGTTCATGATGGCATTTTCAAAATTTTAGGAAAATATATATAACAACATAAACACATTACAGCAAAAAGCACAAATAAACCTCGCAAGTTCTGTAAAATACCGAAATGTCTATAAATGATTGAATCAAGATCAACAGTTATTTCTACTTCAGAAGAAATCTTTGAATGTTCGTACTTCGATGTTTTTATAAACATTTTAAATGAAGTATTTAATACAAAATGTTAAGGTAGAACTTATCCTGTAACTGCCATTTTTATGTCTTTTTTGGTTTTTTATGCACATAGTGTCATGATATTGGCATTTAAATTTAACAATATCGGTTGTTTTTTATGTAAATATATTAATTTAAACATATCAATTAAAATATATACAATATATATTCAAATTAAAATTAGTATTTGTAATTATAATGAGATTATAGAATATCTATATAAAATGTAACAACACACTGTTGTCCGAGATGTGTATTTGATTACAATTTCAAGAATATTGTACGGAACGACTGTTTGTCAAGTACAAATGATAGATAAAACATTAAACTGCAAATGCGGCTTATTTTGGTGAAAATGTTTCCAAAAATAATTAACTATTTTATTTCATATTGCTTTCCGTAAGCATTATAGCATAGGGTATAATAAATCTTTTTACAACAATGTCTTTGTAATGTTCAAAGATCAGACTACTTGTACACAATGTTAATATGACAGTTAAGCTATTTCAGGCTATCATTTCAAACTCTAATATTTCATAAAATTATAAAGATATTAGTAAATACCAAAATAATATAGAATGTTGTTTATTCAGATGAAAGGAGATTGTAATGGCACTATGAAATCACATTTCAATTATTGATTACTGTTTATCAAATTTGATTTAGCTTTCAGTTGTCTTACCTTGATTTGTATTTTTTAAATTTCAATAGTTTTAACCTGTCTATATTTTATTTTCAAGTCTTAAATTATTCTTCATGTACATATTTTTTTTTGATTGACCGACTTAGTTTTACACTTTTAGATTAATTATGGGGTATTTTACATTTTGTAAATGTATACATATATGTGTGGTTTTATTATTATTATTAATTTTTGTTTGATTTTTAAAGTCATTGTAAATGTATATAATTCCATTGTAAAGCGCCTTTGAACATTTTATTTTCTAGAAGGGCGCTATAAAAATGTGGTCATTATTATATATTATATTATATAATGTCTTTTAAAAATAAATCTGATCTAAAAAGTCAATTAAATGTTTTTTGTCGAGGGAGTACACTTCTGCCAATAAAGCATAAAACTGTCATGAAAATATTTCAGCCAAGCTAGTAAACGTTTCTTTGGGCTGAGCTGGGTTGTTGCAGCCCTGAAGCCAGGGCCTGAATTCGCCACTGAAAGGAATAAAGTAAATGTATTTTACTTTGAAGGGCTATGCACATGGTCCACGTCTTTTGAACTGTTGAACGTAGTTGTGTTGTTATTACAGGAGAATGAATACAAAGAATAATTCGTGTTTAAAACGCATTGATCTAAAATAATAATTTTGAAACGCTTCTTTGTGTAGCTCTCGTTTGTCGTTAATAGAGTTTCGTTATACAATGACATTATTTCATTACAATTGTCCTTTGCTCGGACATAAAATACTTAAAAAAATTAACAATTCTAATTATCATTTGTATTGCAAAACATAGTAAACAAGGGTGACTTCATATTAAATATTTTCATACGGATTCAGTTGCGATGATTTCAATAAATTCCGATACATGTATACATCTGCATTTCTATTTACTGTGTGCTTAAAATATGAAAAAACAAGATCAACAAGATAGGGCGGCGTTCAACGAAACCAACCTCAACACGACCTAGCAAAATAGAACACTTGCAAGGAGCCCAGATTAACACAAAACAAAAACTTGTATTATAATTAATATTGCAAATTACAATGAATTATAACAAACATCTGACTGAGTTGATTACATTAAAATGTTTAGTTTTATCGAGGCAAAATATTTTAGGACGTGAAGTATAAATCTTTAATGTGCAGTACATGTTTTTTCAAAAATACCGTGAGCAAATTGACATCTGAATTGGTTGCAATCATCTAATAGATATGATCACGCAACCCACTAAAATGTTTTATTAGAGGATCATGCAAGGACATTGTTTAAAATGTTTCATATTTAGTTGGGTTATACGTAGCACCGAGAAACGTTATTTGGTGACTTTCCAGCTTTTCTAGTGTAAGAAGATCTCAGATGCCCATTTGTGAAATACTTCAGGCTTGAGCCTAAAGAGGTGAGAGGGGTAGTCAACGAACGTAACCGCTCGGCCACCGACGCTCTCTTACAATAGGAAGTTTATTAAAATTTAGGATTCCCGCATGGTTTCAATGGCAAAAATGATCTGCAAACTAGCATTTACTTCACTTAATGTCTTCAAAACCAATATAAATTTGTTTAATGGAATACTTACTGAATTAGATGTTTACATTATGTACACATCTCTTCGATGGAGAAACAAAAGGATGCATGAGAGCTTATGTTATCATAAGATTGCTAGTCTTCACAACACGATTAATTAATGTTGAATTATCCACAACAAACGTTGATATGTACCATTAAAAGATCCTGGAAAAAGTGTTGATTTTACATCCATTCTTGAAGCTGCAAACGTTTAAGCCTACTTAATCATACTTTATGTCAATTCTAGGTTAATCTTTCGCTTTTACGGTGCCAATAAGAGACCATTCACATGTTGTAATGACATTTGATCTGACCGAGTAGGATTGATCACGTGCCAATATGTCAATTAAAGAGTATGTACAAGACAACATAGGTTAATAATGATAACATAAGCTAGTATCATTGTAATTGTCTGTTTCGTTAGTGAACACATTGAAACAGTTTACGAAATTGTCGAAAAGTAATTCAAAAATAAGGAATAGTTATTAGTAGTTTTTGCGTAATTTTAAATAAAACCTATGTATACAATTCATGTCAGCATGGATTTCTGTCAGTCTAACATGATGGAAGTAATGTAATTTCTAAAGAAACGTTAAAAGTTGCGAAATTGATATACACAAGACCTTGCTATTGATGTAAGCAATTATTTTATTCCAGATTCTGAAACCACAATAAAAAATATTTTTATTTAATCTCTCAACATACGCAAATATCATAGTCGAAACTATTACTTTACTGAGACGATATATTATATAAACTTTATAACATACATAATCGCTCCCGTATGAATGGACGAAAGTCGCTTTTGATGGTGATAATAGATATATGATTTGTATCTGTGTGTTTGTTTCTTGGTCTGTTTGTTTAAACAACCCAACCAATGAAATTGCTGTTTGTATCACCTGACGTTTATGATACTTATATGACATCTAATATATTCATTTCCTACATTGTATTTATGCTAAATGCTCGCAAATTGAATTGTTTGATTTCAACATTCCTCATAAGTTTTCTTTTTTCTAAATCATTGATGTCTTAAGTATTTGACACTGCTTCAGTCATTGTTACATATTGTACTTGAACTTTCCTTTATCTCTTATGAAACTAAGTGGTTTTCTAATGAAATACATATGAAAGACTTCAAACTGATCTTTCAAATAGTGTACTGTAATAGAAAGGAATATAAGTTACATATGACAAATCTGATTTTTTCAACGATTTTTATATATAATAAAACTATATGCTGTAGTGTGATTTTGTTATGGAAAGAGAAATAAAATTCGACACTGCTAAAATGTGTTAATTATTTGAAATTAATAAGACTCATCATTTAGATGCATAAACATATACCAATACAAATGAAGGCCTTGTAAAAGTGATGACACATATTGAATATGTATAAATATAATAAAGTTTATTTCTGATGACTAAAAAACAATCATTAACAATCATTATTTTGTTGCACAGCATACTGGCGTTTCCGTGACGGATATTCCGATCTGATCCTCAACATTATGACATATATTATTAAACCTAGAATAAGGGAACTAATTTAAAAAAGTGTAAAATAAATAAAGCTCGCAAACTCGGTTTATGAATATAATGATCAGTGCATTAAACATTACGCTGAAGAATATTGTTCTCAATTGAAAAAAAAGTGTATGTATGAAGAAGTTTAGTTTCTCAAAATATACAGTGGCAAAATGATAAAAAATCTTATCTAAATAATAAAAATGAAGTGTATTCTGATGATTATGTGAATATTACTTAGAAAACAATAATACGAAAGGAACATATTATATATTAGCTTTCGCGGGACTTTTTCTGCAGATATATCACATTGAATATAACCTTTTTTCGAAAGACTCGTTAAATCGCAATTGTACGATATTTATTTCACACCATTTGAAGTTTTGTCAATTAAAGCATCTGGCTTCAGTTTATATTTTGATTCTGCTATAAAATCAATAGATTTGTTGTCCGAACTGTATGGCCATTCTCTCATATTCCAAGTAACTCGTAATAGTGATGTCAAAACTAAAATTGCTACACATTTGCTCCCTATAGACATTCCGAATATATTATGCCGAAGGACATCCAAATTGTAGAAGGTACAAGATCCCGAATCGCCGTCCGACCATAGCAAGCATGCATGATCCACTAATTTTCCTCCAATCACTGGCCCAGGTAACCATGCTACAAATATAGATTATTTCAAAAGGTAACATATTTAGTAGTATTGTAACGCTGTTAACAATTGATTTAATGACACACACGGGCACACACACGCACACATATACACAAAGTGAGAACTTTTTGATTTAGATACTTAGAATATAAAATAATTCTTATAATTTCTTCTTATTAAAAGAAAACCTTTCGGGCAGAATTGTTGTTTTGTTGATAAATTTATAATATTATAAGAATATAATATAATATAATAAAATAGAATAGAATTGAATGAAATAGAATAGGAAATGGAATAGAATAGAATGAAATAGAATAGAAAATGGAATAGAATATTCAAAAGAAAAGAATATATTTTATTTCAAATTTTCTGGGTCTTTTCATGTATATAATCAACAGTAATAATATTGTACAAGATTTACGTAACAAAATAAACAAAACATAACTAAAACGTGGTTAAAATATGAGAACAAAGTTCAACAAGGCAGATCAACTTTTACATAATTTACATTTATACGTATACATGTGGTTTTGGTTATGCATTATATAAGTTATTATAAAAGAAGAAAACACTTACCAAACAATGACATCGCTAGAGCTGACAGGCCTATTGCCATTGATTTTAATCTGTTTGGAACCATTCTTCAAGAAAAAAAGAAAATCAGATGTCTTAAGCGACTATATTTTCAGCAATACACACACTAAATATTGGTTATTACTACAGTATATGGGCAGATGTGAAGTTTGATATGGTGTTAAGAGCAAAACAGATCTGGTCCTAGGTATCTACTTGAACAAAGGTTAGTTTGATAATTTTTAAAACCAGACAAGGCATAAAAACACTTCTTTCCTTTCAAAAATAGATATGCATCATGTTCAAAGGATTTATGATACTTTGGAAAAAACCTTGCCTTAGTACCTCTTCTGATGCTAAAATATTTCTTAATTTGATAATCTATCCCTAAAACCAAGAAATTACCGGTGGGATTATTCTTCAGCATGTTTTCCGATTCCCCATATATATGATATTATTTGAAATCCGATTTACCTGCCAATGATGACGTCAAAATAAAGCAGAATGCAGGTTTCATCAAAGCAAATTACCTTATGTTAAAGATGAATGTTGGCATCATCAAACAAGAAGACAGAAAGTTGGCCAGGAAGGATACTATCATAAAAGGCCAGAGCATGTTGCAGTCGAATGGACAAAAGCCCGTCGATACAACACTGTCTGGGACGCAGGTACAGTTGGTAAATTTCTACAAAACAAAATAAATTAATAATATATTGTATGAATATATCTACAATAATCATATTTTATAATAAAGAATATCAGAACATAAGAAATACTTATCGAAATAACAACAATTCATAAACAAACATCTGAAAACATTGAAATTTATGTTGTAAATCAGTAGTTAATACTTGTATTTTATAAAGAAGATGCAGATTCGTTGCGTTCTAATTCAGATCATTAGCGATTAATTTAGATTGAAAATAATATAGATAAACTGATTTGGATCAAAATTTATCATATAATATGCTAGCAATAATTCATAGTAGCAGATATATATTATTTCTAATACATCAAGACAATGTATTATTTCAGTTGCAGTAAATGATATTACAATAATGGTCATATACATTAAACAGTAAGGTCGCCAAACTTTTCCCATTGTACTCCGTAAATGTTATGTAAAATGTTTTATAGAGCTATTTAATATAATTTTGTTTGGCCTTCATAAACATTATAATGTGCATAGACTATAGTTTGTTGAATCCTTTTAAAAGAAAGTTATTTCTTTGTCTCTAAGAATATTCAAAGCCCAGACTTTCTGCATCCATCAGGATGTATGATACATAAATAATTACAAACTAACCACTGAAATTATATTTTCTTACGGCTGTATAGCTTATATTTGAAATTGTAGTAATTAAGGAATAATCATTCAAGAATAGATAAAAAAATGTGCATTTGAGCCGCATCACGACAAAACCAACATAGCGGGTTTGCAACCAGCATGGATCCAGACCAGCCTGCGCATCCGCGCAGTCTGATCAGGATCCATGCTGTTCGCTATCAGTTTCTCTACTTGTTATAGGATTTGTAAGCGAACAGCATGGATCCTGATCAGACTGCGCGGATGCGCAGGCTGGTCTGGATCCATGCTGGTCGCAAACCCATTATGTTGGTTTTGTCGTGACGCGGCTCAAATGTTGTTTTGCACAAACCATGAGAGATCCCTGAGAACACCCAGCATGACAAGGTGAGAAATAATTTGTTCCAGTAGTAGAATCACACACTGGCAAGAATGTACTACCACAAGAACAATCACTGGAACATGACCGTGGTAATTCTGAAGACCTTTCAAATAAATACAGCAAATATACATAATATGGAAGGGAAATAATAGTAGAAAAAACCAAAACCAACTAACAATGTGTCTGGATTTTGAATTGTACTTTATATTTTATCAGTTTAAACACCCACACATCTGGAATATATTAATAAATAATAATATATGGATATAATTATCAAAGTAGCCAAAGGAAGTGTTCACAATATATGTTTAAAAGGAGGCAATGAAGACTTTTCAAACTCCAGATTAAAACAAGCGCCTTAAAAATGTTCGTTTTTACAAGCATCATAAAATTATTTGTTTTACAAGCATCATAAAATTGCATTTACATGCATAAAAATATGTTCGTTTTTACAAGCACCATAAAAATGTACGTTAAGATAAATTTCGTTTGCTTTAATTAATATATAGTATATCACAAAACAAAAATATACATGTATTTACATTTGCTCTGGCCAACCGTTTATTTGAGGTTGGTCACAGCTGAGGAACATTGAAATGAATTGAAGACCTAATGCCGGAATTTGTGTAGATAAAATCAACATTATACACTTCAGGGGATACAATTTCAGTTTCTTAGTAGCAAGCCCACCAACAAATGATCCGAGACATGCCGACGGAATTCCCATACCAGCTGAAATTTGATGAAAGAACATAAGATTACTTTGCGGAAACTATATTTATTACACATTCTTAAAAGATCATATTATTAAGTAAAGGCTATGAAAACATCCAGAATATTCAAATTTTGTAACCAAAGAAATGATTTAAACTGAAAATTTTCTGTTGCAAAGCTTTGAGTGATGGCGATTGATGGTGTATGAAAACGTTCATTTTTGTGTTACATTTAGGAGTACGGCATGGAGTACGGCATGGAGTACGGCATGTTTTAATGGTGATAAACAGGTGAATGTATCAATTAGTTTTGAAACAAAGATCATGCTCGCGTTACAGATGGTGCAGCCTCAAGATAGATTGATAACTTCACAATTTTTCTGGCGGAAAAATCATGTGGCAATAAGTAAAACCGAAAATAGTTATTCATAAAATATGCATATTATGCATATTACTGTATGATAAAAAAAAAATAAAAAGAAAACCCGGGCTGTTTGTCAGTTAGTTTTTCGTGGGTACCGGGTACAGACCCTCAATTCCCAAAATTTGATAAAAAGAAAAACGTGACCCATTTAAAAATGGAAACCTTTTTCAAACAAAATATCATTACTATCCCTTTTAAACACAAAATTTATCAAAACAAATATAGTAAACATAGTGAGTATTATAAAGCAAATCTAACAGTGAAAAATATTCAAAGACTGAATAACTTTACAAAGATTAATGCATCCTCTCGTTTCTAGAATAAGAAGAACCATAAAAGCAAACAGTTGTATTAAACGTTAAATCGAGCACATTCTGCTAACGTCGCCTTGCCATGTTGATCTTTGTTCTAATTTAAGTACCTTTTAGTCAATCAGCTGATACAATTAAACCTGTTTGTCCCGTATGCATGCATATCTAGCATGTTTATTTTATGCATACATTTTATAATTTATTCATTTTTTTAACATCTCGGTGATGTATTTTTGAATAGCAATAAAACGACACCTGCTTAGTCAAGTATCAATTGTTGCATCATGATACGTCGTATATTTTCATGCCAATGTTTGACATAAGGGATTTGACGTCATATAGGGAGTTGACGTCATACCATCAATAATGTTGTTTCATTATCTTAAGATGCCCGAAGCAGTGTAAATATTGGACAATATTATTCCACTATGACAGTTAACCTGAAGCATGGCATAGAAGTGCTTATAACCGACATTAAACCATGTTCTAAAATAAACAAAATTAAACGGTTAGTATTGATAGCTTTGTACCTAACACGACGCTTAAAGATGAAAGACCACTACTAACCTAATATGATGTTTGCCTTCCAAGCGGGTATGTTATATTGTTTCTCCATGTATTTTGGACCAAATGAGAAAGCCGCACTATATCCGAGTACACTACATATACATGCTAACAGCATGATTGTAAATGCTGGAATTCTCAGTACCTGAAAAATGCTCTTGAAAACACCTGAAAGATTTTTGGTTAAAATATTAATCTTCTTATTAATAAGATATGCTATAGAGAAATTTATAGTCCCTAAAGAAAGCCCAAAACGACAAAATTGAAAATGTTGCATTGACAGAGTCTGTGTATGGACGGTAGTGGTTATTGCAAGCTACCGTCCATGCCCGAAGCAAAGGTTAAGCAAAAATAAAATTTAACATGTCAGTTGAACTGGTAAAATTTTGAATTTTGAAACATTCGTAGATGTGTCCATATGGCGATTTTCGTGGAACGTTCAATATGATACGTTAGTACCATTCCATGAAAAGCAGCGACAGGCAACACATCATAAGGGTGACTAAACAGTATTTAAGTGAGGAATACTGAAACCATGTCATCCAGCTAGAATAAAAACAACACCAAATTGAAAAGAACTCAAACAAAGTACCACAAACATGCACTCACATGTCGTGCTGGACGATTAAATGTCCGGTGAGACTTTTTACAGCCGCCACACGACACAAAAAAACACTGGTTAATAAAAAGTAGAGAAAAACAAAATAATCAATGCAATTGGTGAACATTTTATTTTTCTTAAAACTAAAATGAAAATAATCACACCGTACAATCAAATGGGCAGACAGCTGTTCCAGCGTCCACAGCTGTACCAGTATATACATGTCGGCGCGGGGAATACAATTGACGTACGATAAGTAATCATCTGTTTTTAACATGTCAAAACTGTGTTCGAGAAAATCAATGTTATGGATTCATAGTCAACATCCAAAGAAGCATGCTAACAAATTTCTGGCCCTGTGCAAGCTTTACTTCACATGAATTTTGATTGAAAATAACCACTCTTTCCGATGAGATGCGGTATTTTTAGTTTGAAGTCACAAAAACTTATATTTTCTCATGATAATTAATCATTTTTTCATACGGTTCGTAAACGTCAACATTTTGTCATTAAATATTCCAAACCATACCTTCAAAAAAGCTTTTCTGTTAAAGTTATAAAGTATTTAAGTTTGAGTGTCATCAAAATTTTAGTAATGTAATGCAAAATATTTTGATAAAAACCAAACTTCCAAATATTATCAGTCCAGAGCAAACAGGCTTTATCAAAGGTAGATATATTGGGGAAAATGTTAGACTTTTACAAGAGACAATCGAATATATTAATAATTTAAATGAAAAAGGGTTAATATTTTTTTCTGATTTTAATAAAGCTTTTGATAGTCTTGACCATAACTTTATGAAAAAATGCTTATTGAAATTTAAATTTCCTCAACATATTATAAATTGGGTTGGCCTTTTTTATAAAGATGCTAAATCGTGTATACATAATAATGGTCATCTATCCAGTTTCTTTAAAATAGAAAAAGGCGTGCGACAAGGGTGCCCTTTATCCCCTTACCTATTTATTATTTGTATAGAATTACTCTCAAATGAAGTTACCAAAAATGAAGATATTAAAGGCATTAAGATAGGAAACATTGAACTTAAACAAACACTTTTTGCCGATGATGCATGTTTTATAACTGATGGAGAAAAAAGATCGTTTCTTACACTTATTTCAACACTAAAAAAGTTTTCAAATATATCAGGCCTTAAATTGAATAAAGATAAATGTACTGTTTTAAAACTTGGAAGTTTAAGAAATACTCATATCAATTTCTGCAATGACAATAATTTTAAATGGACATCTGAAAAAGCTAGCACGCTCGGTATAACTTTCACTAATAACATAGACGAAATGCTTAATACTAATTTAACACCTAAACTGAAAGAGTTCGATCAATGTTTGCATAAATGGAAACGATGGAAACTAAGTCTTTTTGGAAAAATAACCGTTCTTAAAACTTTTGCAATGCCCAAACTTATTTATCCTCTCACAGTTTTACATAACCCAGACCAAGAAATCATAAATAAAATAAAAAAGCTCATGTTTAACTTTCTATGGGACAACAAACCAGACAAAATATCAAGAGATAAGATTATTCAAGATTACCAACATGGGGGGCTTAAAATGTTAGACATTGAAAGTTTTATATATTCCTTAAAATGCTCCTGGGTTAAACGCATTAAATTGCAGCAACATTCAAAATGGGTTAAAGTATATGAAAATATGTTAAATACATATGGAAAACAATTCATATTTAAATGTAATCTTAACATAAAAGATATTGAAAATTTAGATATTAGATTTACATTTTTAAAAGACGTACTCAGTGCTTGGTCGTATGCAAACTTTAATAAAGAAATAACTGATGTTGGGAAAGAAATTATATGGAACAACACGAATATAAAACTAAGTAACAAACCATTTGTTTTCTGTGAATGGATGGAAAAAGGTGTAATCTTTATCGAACATATATACGATTATAGGAAAAAACAATTTTATAGCTTTAACGAAATCCAAAACCTTTATGGCATAGCCCAATCAAACTTTTTAAACTATCATCAACTCATAAAATGCATACCAAAAGAATGGAAAATAAAACTAAAATCTGAAGGGATACAATACAAAGCTAATAACTACTTAATTGATAAATTAAAACCTCAAATTAAAACCTGCCGATTTATTTATACTATGCTTATTCAAAAGAAAACAACAACAAACAATCATCAAGAAAACAAATGGGAAGCTGAACTCTCAGGCAACTTTGAATGGAAAAATATATTGCATCAAATCATAAACATAACGATTGATACCAAACTTCGAAGTTTTCAGTATAAATATCTTATGCGTATTTTGCCAAACAATGAAAAACTCTTTAAATATAATATGGTGGAGTCAATGTTATGCGATTTTTGCACCTCAGCACCAGAATCTAATGTACATCTATATTGGGAATGCTCAAAAATTCAACCATTTTGGTGTCAAATCAGGATTTTTTTACAATCAAAATATTCTACAAACATAACTTTGGTATCATACGAAACTGTCAGCTTGTGTAATGTGAACATTCAAAATAATATGAAATCAAACTGCATTAACTATATTTTACTCTTAGGTAAATATTTTATATTTAAAAATAAATACCAGAAAACCATACCAAACTTCAGTGAATTTTTAAATTATCTTAGATATAAACTTAGTTTAGAAAGACTCATTGCTGAAATGAAAAATAAGGTCGATGTCCATAACAACAAATGGAGCATATTCACATCATAAACATATGCGACTGGCTGGAGTCTATTAAATATTATTTACACGCTTACTATGAAACGCTTCTTTTTTATTAATGAAAACATAACTATAAATAATTAAAATTACATATATCATGCTCTAGATTACTTTTCCATTTTTACAACCATGTTAAATCAGTTTAAATCTACTTAGTCTTTATTAAGGTTTTTTTCTGATGTAACGATTGTTTATTCTTGCAATTAAACAATTTGTAATATGTTTGTAAATTTGTACAATGTATGAAATGTATTGTTTGTAAGAACTGGATAATAAAGAAAATTTAATAAAAAAAAAAAAAAATATTTTGATTTTGAAGCCATGGATATTGTTCTTAAGAGCGGTGTATTTAATTTTTTGAATTGTTTAATAGTAATTGACTAAATAAAATGTCAATTTCTACTGATTATTTCGCTTTATTTCATGCTTTCCAGTGTTTTCTTGTAATATATCAGATGATTATATTCTGATAAACCACTAGTAAAATTTATAAAATATAATTTTCACTGTAGACTATATCTGAATACGGGTGAAATGTAATTACAGGCAGAAATAAATGCCGTCGTACATAAATTTTGCTTCTTTAAGATAAGAAAGTCGATGTCATCATAAATCATGTTAAAAATGTAACAAAATTATAGAAATTTAACAGAAATATATTTCATAATTGATGATGTGACGTCATGATGTGATGACGTCACAAAGGAGAATGTGCGACGTTACGCGGCTAAAGCATTAAAAAAACCTTAAAATCACTTAAAAGCATGAAATAAAAATAAAATTTATTTGTTTTACATATAAGATTTAAATATATGTCATTCGTGAACACCAGCTATTCTATTTTCACTCGTATATTGCATCTGGTGTTCACTCAGTGAAATTATATTTCAATCTTACATGCAAAACAAACAAATATCCTCTATATCAACAAAGTATGTTTTATTTGATTATTTCACATCTTTCCTTCAGAAGTTTGCACACATTTCACTCCCCTTGTATTGTTTAGTTAATTCTAGATAAATTTACATAAGAGAATACAAAGATAAACAACCCATGTTTATTATTTACCTAACACCTCATCACAGCATGATTTAAGATTTCTTCCAGAATGAAATTCAAGCGCTGGTGTTCTACTTTTAACAGCTTTAACTCGTCTGAGACTGGCAGGAAAGAATAGCAACGGGAATGCACACAAAACTGCTGCAACACCAAATGCCAAGAATCCAAGCCACCAAGCGCCTAACCATCGCGGATCATGAGGATGCAAATCAACATCTGAAAAAGAAGTATTGAGACGCTTAAAAAAAAGAAAAATGAAATCAATGTGCTAAATCTTGAATATTCATTGTTCAGTTAAATACGTCAAAATCAGCAGAAGATAAATGAGTTTATAAATATTACAATACATCAAGCGTATTCATCTGTAAGTTTTTGTTTGACATTCCTGAAGATATGTCAAGATTTTGAAATTACATAAAAACCTATAGTAATGAAAGCGATCTGGTTAAAACCGGTATCATAAATCACGCCTTCGTTTCAATTACTCAAAGAAGGCAGCGTTTTTTCTGAGATATATATATTTTTTTAATATTCGCGTAATTCAATCGTAAGACGTTTGTTTGTAAAGTTAAACAAATACATCTTTTATCTAGCCATACGACGCCAGAAAAAGTAACTCCGTGGGTTTTATTATAACAGTGGTGATAATGGAGAGTATTTAAATCAAAGTAAAATATCATAAAATAAGGTATTTTGTAAATAAATATTATTAATTAACCATTTATAACTATTTAAAGACACGTTAAGCCAGAATAATATTTTTTTCTTTTCGTAGGAAGGACAGATATGCCCTTTCTGATGTTGTTATTATAGGTTACTAACATTAAGATGGTTTTCCATCTGAATTTTGTAGCATTGAATGTGAAATAACGAGTGACAAAGGAAACAAGAAATTGGTATTTTAACGTCCACACAAAATACGTTATTACCATAACTGAACAAATGGTTAAAACGCCAAAAGAATTCAAAGACGGATTTGCTTTAAGGCAAATGAGTAACATTTTGGAAACTACATATGTGCGTCAAAAATATTAAGCTTTTGTAATAAAATAAAAATATTGCCGTTTTCTAGGGTTAAGGAGCCTATTATTATTATCTTTATTACCTCCATCACTGAAGAGCATTTACATTATACATATTACAGATAGTACAAAAGATCATATATACAGTAGATATAAATACAAGATTGTTTTAGAATTATATAAATTAGTAAAGAAAAGGCATAATTATAATATGTACAAACATACTAAAAGAAAAATAATGTAATTAATCTGTGATATCTATCAACAAATGTTAATTGAATGGATAGATATAAATATATAAAGGGAATAAGCTACTTAGTTGCATAGATATCAGGTTCATATGTATATATCAAGAGCATCAGACCTGAGCTTGTTTAGTGTAACAAAATTACTTAGGTAGGCAGAGGTAAAATTCAATTCAATTAAGTAAAGTTTAAAGTTACAATAATTTTAATTTTGAGGAAAGACGATGAATAATTATTGGAAAAAAAAAACAACAAAAAACAAATTTTATAATATTTAAATGATTGCCAAAAACACATTAAGTAATTAGCCTTAACCGAAACGAAATTATCAAGGCGATTAAGATGTGTTTAAGCTAGGCCAGTTGTTGTTGTTTTATATATGAATAAGGACACTTACGAAAACTATCAATTATTGACTATCTAAATTCTACATTGTCTATGATTTAAATTGAGCAATAGTGGAAAAAAAAAGATAAAAAGGGATTCTTAATGAAAACAACACTTGTACGTTAACCTTAAACCGAGAACGAAACATTAAGGCGTGTAAGTTGTGTTGTGAACAAAGAGTAATGATATCACAAAAATGTACATTTATAATAAGACAATTCATAAATCAAACATAAATAATTGAAAATATATAACATTCAGTATTAAATCTTTATGTACACGTTCATAACTCAATATAACTTAATGCAATGAAGTTATTCGCCATCTGCTTATATCACAGTTTATATATTGCTTAGGTAGTCATGTTATAGACACTTGCTAGGAACACCTTAAAACATGATACTCTCAGGCTATCGTTCAGGTCAAAAGAATCAAAACCACTGAACATTTCTAAAAGTTGTGATTCTGGTGAAAAGGAACAAAAGATTTCGAATTGTTGTATGCCTAACATATGTGACAGGTTAGACCATAATGTAGATCTGATACTCTCCATTTTCTCACAGAAGAAAATAAGATGTAACACAATATAGTCAGTGGGTAATTCACATTTATCACACGTTACTTCATAGCTTCTTGAGAAAAATTTAGCTGTCATTGATTCAGTGCAAAGCATATTGATGATACATCGATATCGGCTGACAAATATTGGCAATACACCGATATATCGATAAATACTCTTATTTTCTTATATATAATACTTTTTCATACCTGTTTAAATGATTTTAGTAAAATAAATATGTTGTGTACCTTTGCATGATTTTTTTCTGATTTATATTTTGTCATAACTGCTATGAAATGTGTCCATTATGTAACAACAGCTTATTGTTAGACATGGCCATCTGCTTTTGTGTATGTTTTTAGTGAAATTTCATTATTTATAGACATTTAAACAATTAATCAAAATAATCGATTTTTTCAACTGTGTATCGATTATTGATCGACAGAAAAATATCAACGATACATCGATATTGTCTCTATCGATGACAGCTCTAAAGGAGCCTATATGTGTTTTCGTTTAAATGATATTTAATTTAGAATATTTGTACATGTGTAAATAACAACATAACATAATTATAGATTTAAGCCGAAAGCAGAAGCTTATAGAAGCCATTATCAAACAATTATTACAATCTTCAACATCTGTGATGCTTGTAATTGACATGTTACCAGAAAGTGAACATATTTGATAATGCAATATTTAAAAGGAATAATGTTAATGGTAAGAACAAAATGTTAGTAAGTTTTGACAAAATTAAATAAAAAAGCTACAAAAAACAACTAAAGAAAAAAAAACACAAAAAATAACATTTTAAAAATAAAGAAAACGACAAAAATAAATAAATATAAGCAGCATAGCAGTAGCAGTCATACATTATATAAATATATGTGTTTTAACTTGAAGCAATTTTTTTACGCGACTTGGTAATAATATATTGTCCTTAAGAGTACTATTTTGAAATATAAAGAAGTCAGTCGAGTGAAAGACAGCATGTCATATAAGAAATATCAGTGCGCATAGACTCCCATTAAGTCTTTGTTCCCAGAAAGACAAGTTTTATATAACAGTCGAACAACAACTGACATCAGTACAATACATGCAATTTTCCCTAAGTGGAAAACCTCTCAAGGAGATTATATTCTATTATTTGCATCTCTTGATATATGTTCAACATAATTGATTAGATATAAGATGTTACATTAAATCAGTTTATGTAACTATGATATCTGAAAGTATAACCACCGTATTTTAACTACATAATATAAGGGGAACAACTCTAATAGTAAGCTTACAAAGAGCAAACTTTAAGTGACTTCCCTTTGAGTTTCAATCTCGACTGTAGCTTATACGTGTTATTTAACATTTTTAAAGCAGCACGCCTCCAGCTTCATGAAAATTTGAAAATTTATTTAACGGAATGATATTGTGAAGTTACCAAAAGAATGCAATTTACACATTATCAATGACACTTACAATCCATGTCAATTATCATAAAGATGTCAAAATATGCAAAAATAGCCCTTACTGTATAAGTAACGCAGTAGAAATACAGTTATAAATACGAAAAAAAAGTCGTACTAATCGGAATGTTTGTTTCTTGAAACGATTTATGGAATATTTTGAAATGTGAAAGAAGTTGATCACAGCAAAAATACATTCGTAATACATGTGCATAATTATTAACTATTGTTCAAGTCAATTTGATTGGACTTAGCATTAATTAATATTCTCCGTTATTCACTCATGTTTAAACTGATATTTCCTTTTTCTCAAAAATAATGATATCAATAAACATGTACTTTAAGAAATCGGAGTGTGTGTTGATTATAGATTAACTTCTAAGCTTTAATTATTACTTCTAAACAGATATTTACAAATATACTAAATTACGGGATAACCTAACATTTACTAAAAGAGCTGTTGAATTTTTCTTAGATCCCAAGTTATGTTGATGTTTACTAAAACTCACTAAGAGCTTTTCCATTAAATTTTCTCCGAAAAGATATTTTGTAAATTAACTTAATGGAATATAGCCATATCGTGATCGTCTTCAAAAGGTTAAACATAATTTATTCATGGATTTTGCGACGATATTTACCCAAATAAGCCTGATTTTTATATTACAGAAATTTTACGACAAGGCACATGTCTTACAGCGATTTACGAAGAAGCAAAAAACAAGACGATTATTTGCAAAATTATTTAAACTGTGCCGACAAAAACATGAAGATAATTTTATATGAGAGACAACGCCATCTCCTTATGTTGCATTTACACGTGGTGTATTCCCCTCACAATTTTAACAACGTGCTTTTAAATGCCACATGTCATGTTCTTAGAAATATATATACATGTACAAAGACAATTGACATAAAATACATCTACATGATGATATTACTTTTTTTGCAAACAAAGTCACGACTGTTTTGCTTGTCTGTGTGATTGGGTTTTCACGTCACACCGACACATTACAGGTCATATGGCAAATGTACCAACTTCACTTCAGGTGCCTTTCCGTACATTATTTCATGCGAGTAAAACCACAGCCGTTCCGTAAGCTAGCTGGGTAGCTTCCTCACATGAAAGAAACCAATGTCTCTGAATTGTGGTGAGAACCAAATGGTTTTAAGGGAACGACCTTAACCACTCGGCCACGACATTTTACATAATAAATATCATTTTATAGCTTTATAGAACGCTAGTCAAAGAAGTGGTTGTTGTACAGGAGTTAGTAATAGAAAGAGCGTGCTTCACGTAATGGAAAGAGCATCGAAACACGAGGCTTTTTGATTTGTATGAGGGGGCGTAGCCCCCGAGTATAAATCAGATTGGCGAGTGTTTTAATGGTCTTTCTCTTTTGTATCATAATGAAACATATTAACATGTTCCCTTTTGTCACAATATGAGTCCCCAGAAAAAAGTAACCAATGAACGAGCATCTGGATATGATATTTCTATCGCTTTCCCTTTCTCTGCCTTCACAATAAGTAAACCCCAGCAAAAAATATACCAATCAATGGTCATGCTCTGGAGTGCGGGTAACTAATACCTGCACTCCAGTTAACGCACTGTGCATGTATATGTATACGATTTAACTCCATCACATTTTCAACAGAAAGGTCCCCAAACTATGATACAGTTGTTTTATAGACAGTATTTTAATTGGATAGATATATGTGTATGACATACCTTCCAGAGTTACGTAAATTTGACTGAAAAATCCTCCTAGTCCATATGCCATTGCGGGGCCAAATATTGTAATGCAAGTTATTATTCCTGGAAATTAAATAAACATTTATTTATAGAAAATATAATTATATAGGTAATAGAGAGCCCTGACGTAATTTTCGTGAATTAAGGGAAAGTAAATAATAGAGTAATACTTCACTATGGTCATTGTAGAAATTTAGAGATAGGCGTGAACAAGACGTAAACTTTTAGCAAGTTTCATTGAAATTCATTAATGAATGGCGTTGCTTGTATCAAACTAGGCATACTTACTTAGACACAATATTTAAGTTATATCTCATATCGTTTTTAAACTAATGAAACGCGTGCTTTTAACAATGTGTCATTCGGAACTCACCTAAATAAAAGCCGGTTTCCCTTTCATTTGTGTTATCATCAAGGAATTGACCAAGCATAGGGTACCTTGGTGCCTTACCGATGCCTTGAATTATCATACCAATTGCAATTAAAGCCATTGTTACATTTCTGGCAGTACGTTCCTCTTCGGATTCCGTATTTTCTATATTTTCTGCATGTACGGTATTATTATTAAAGTTTTTCATCACAGATATATCTAAAACGGTAGAATTTCTACAGAGACTTAGCTTGGCAAAGCTCATTTTTGGTATTGCGCCGTCAAGACCGGTCTGTAATGGGGCAGGCTTGAATAAAAAGTGAGGCACGGAGCAAAGGATTCCCGATAAACCGTACAAAATCGTCGTTAAACAAAGCATTCTTGGTATATGGACTCTATTAGCAAAGTAACCAGCGATAAGTATTGTGACGCAGTACCCAATGTCATTGCACGCCATCAGATAGCCGGTTTTGCTGCTACTCAACCCAAACTGCCGTTCAATAGTTGATACTTGTGAAACAACATACATAGAGAGCGACGACGTCAACAGTCCTGTTATACTGTATACACCAGTGAACCAGTTTACAGATGCAAATTTCCGCATCCATTTTGGTTTGCATCCAAAAACACCGCAATCAGATTGTTTTTCCATCGACATTGTCGTTGATTTTCCTGCACGAAAAGTCCCTGTTGGTGATGATATACGGCCGATTTGTGATCTCGTCTTTACTAGTGCTTTTCTAATGTGGTATAAAAACAAACTGACGCCTCATTTATCCTTTGTAATCATTTAAATTTTATCTGGAGTATATTAATGATTGCTTATTCAAAATTAATCCTACATTTTTAAAGTCAATTTATAATAGGTTAAGCATTGCGCGTTACCCAACACACGTTTTAAACCAATGTAAACATTAAAAATGTGCCCAACTTTTAAACTCGTCGGATCACAAGACTTAGTTATCATTTTGTATTACACTGTCATATCTGTCATATTCAAACAAGCCAAAGATGTCCATATATACATCGTCTACAAGATAAAAAGATAAAATTATCATAAACTTTTACGTCCATCCACATTTAGCATTACATAAATCTAGAATAAAGTTGAAAGGGAACTGGGATGTAAATTTAAGTAAATAAATAGTTCGTTAACCGAACTATACATGAACTAATATGTCCTAGGGAAAATAGTATATTTATATATGAGTAGTACATTTATATCAATATTTTGGTTGAAGTTTATAGCTTTATATATGTAAGTGTTATATGAATTACGAAACTATACTGGAATTCATGCAGTTAACTCTTTGCAACGAATTTGTTGCGGTACTTCTAACCAAAACAAGTACATTTTCAACATACCATAATGAATAGTTAAATAGAGTAAGTTGATCAATTTATCAAAAATATAATCATTCTTTTGTTAATTGAATTTTAAAATGATAATTTTTGACAAGTAGATTTTTTTTAGATATTAGTTGCAATTTTCCTTTCCCTGCGACTATTTAAGTCAGCAATG